GAGAGCAGAAAACCCTGCCCCACACGCCCTAGGACAGATGCACTCACCTCTTGGAGCCTCTTTCCCGTCTGTAAAATCCCTGCCCTCCCTCCCTCCCTCCCTTGGTGGTGGCAGGAGCACCTCCTAAACCTGGCAGAGATGTGCACATACTGGAGGGAGCTGCTGTCGGGTGGCCCGCAGTGCACTGCGAGGTCTTCTCCAGCACACTGGACACCAGACAGAAAGCTGCGTCCTCCTGCCCTCTGGAATTCCCACATCCACGCCTTCTCAAGCTACGGCAGCAGAAGGCTTGACTCAAGGTCAAGGGGCAGGAAGCCCAGGGAGGTGCTCCCACAGCTCAAGGTGGACTGCTGATGTGCATGTGGGCTGACACCTCCCAGGATCAGTCACAGGGCTGTTTTCAAGGTCAAATAAAATACAACTTGCACATCACTTGGCATAGGGCTAAGCCGGGTKGAAATCAGACATGCCAGTGATGATTACTATAGGAAGAAACGGACCCAAGGCTCCTTTACTGAGAGCCCCAGGGGCTACTCCAACGAAGGACAAAGTAGCCAAGCAGGCCCTCAGAAGAGGCACCTGGCCTGAGCCTGGACCCAGGCTATTCAGGTGAGTTGGTGACTGTGCCAGGGACAGTGATCCTGCCTCTGGACAGGTGTGATGCCTCTACTGAGAGATTCTCCATGGTTATGAATAGGGAATCGGTGCTAACTGTCTTCTCRCTGGATCTCTTTCCCATTACTGTCCCACCTGCTGTCAGTACCTGGGAGAAAAGGCTGCTTATTCCGCTGCTAGCCCAAGGCTGTGGTAACATGGATCCCCTGGGTCCCCCAGGCACTAAAGAAGGCCCTTCTGCTGACTCAGCAGGAGACATTTGCAGCTGTTGGTGACACACCCACAGTCACAGGCCCTCTATCCATCAAACAGAACAGCACACAGCCTGAGGCTCCAGAACAGACCCCATTTCCTCCCGGTGGCTTTCCTTCTGTCTCCAAGCACAGGTGTGAGGGAGGCAAGGCCCCAGGGAGAGCGGCCTGGGCCCAGCTGGCTGTATCTGAGGCTGCTGGGCGTGTCTGGGAGCAGCCAGAGTGTCGGTCACTGAGGGACAGGCAGGACTGGGCGGACAGCAGAGGTAGCCCAGGGGTGGGCCGAGAGCAGCGTTGGCTGACCGGGTAGAGCAGGCTGCAGGCTCAGTATGGAGCTCTCCCCTGCCACTGGCCTCCCTCCCAACACACAGCAGAGACCAAAGCTAGGATCTAAACAGCGTGTGTGCTGATGAAACTAGAAATAACTGTGACCGTCAATGGGTCCCCAGGTGGAGCTACTAAGATTGGCTTTAAGTGGCACCCCTTTCTCCACAGAAAAGTCTTAACTGAGCTTCTCCAAAAATCTTCCCCATGGCTGATTTGAGGTCTATCAGCAAGAGTCTCTGCAAAAGAGTTTAATAAACTTCCTATTTTCGCGTCACCCTGTTTACTTGGCCCCTGGCCAGGAAGATACCAGCACTCCAGGTGCTGGACACCCCTTACTAGTTTTCACAAACGTATCCAGTAGAGTAGTTTGTAGAACTGTGCAAACAAGGCCTCTGGCCTGGAGCTGGGCTTCACAGAGATGTCTACATTTTTAAGAGAAGTTACCAACTGGGCTCCATGGTACAGCTGGCAGGGGGAGGAAAGAAAGGGGAGAAGAAGCTCTTCCCTTCTCAGGTGTTGTCCTTGAAGGTTAACTTGCCCAAAACAGTGAAAGAAAAAGCTGCTTTTATGTGAGCTTCTGCAGACTGTGAACTTCTGAGCCCCTCCCCTTGCATGCTGGGTACAAAACTCTGAAACTCCCTGAACTCAGGGTTCAGGGGATTGATTGATTACAGCAAAAGCTGGGCCCTCTGAACCTGGCTGCAGCCAAATAAAACTGTTTCCTGCCATCTTCGATGCCTGGCCTCGTTTCTTGAGGAACACCAAACTGTCAGTAACTCACCCAACCAATGAGCTGTTGCCAAAGAATTGCAAAAGCAAAAAGCATCAAAATAATCAGCTGGCCTGCTGCCCAGAGGCTCAGAAGAGAGGTCCTCTCATGCTGACGTCCCCACTCCCCTCCACGGCTGCCTGAAGGCCCCGCTGGGGCCCCTTCCAAACCCCGAGCTGCTCCATCCTCCACCTGACTGTCTCTTCTGACCTTGTCTCTGCCCCCAGATGGGCCATCCTCCCCCCTCCTAATCACTCAGGTTCTTCCCACCTTTCCCGGTGCCTGGCTGACCTCAGAGCCCACTCACGGAGGCCCTTTCAAATATGCTGATCTTTCTTCCTCATTCCAGAATTTCAGGGTTTGGAAAGTGAACCAGAGACCCTGCTGTCCCTGATGCTATCACCAAACTGTTTTGTGTTGTCCCCCCGAGGACCCAGAGCCCCTCTACGGCCCCGACACCAGGGTCTTTCACTGCCTTTCACTGCCCTCACGGGGGTGCCACCCGCCAGCTCCCCGTCACGCCTGCTGTGGCTTCTCAGGCTTCTTCTCGACTATCCCAGGACCTCCACTGCCACCTAGGACGAGGGACTGCAGAAAACTGCACGCTTAGAACCAGTGAAAATGTCCCACTTTRTGTTATGCATTAGCAAAAATCTTGTAAAAACCCCCAAACAGAGGAAAAAGCAGCAGTCCCACMCCCAGCTCATGTAGGAAATGCAATGATGCTTGCCTGTGAGCTCACTGTCCATCTCCCCTACGGAAGGGAAGCTGTGGCTGGGGAGAGTGTGGCTGAACCGTTCAGGTGCTAGAATAGAGCCTGATAAGCAAATTTTTATTAATTTAACTCATAAAACCGAAAATCATACATACTAATGGAATACTATATGATGTTTAAATTTATGTATATTTGACAGAGCGTTGTAGTACATGCCTGTAATCCCAGCAACTTGGGAGGCTGAGGCAGGAGAATTGCAAATTTGAGGCCAGGCTCGGCAACTTAGCAAGACCCTGTCTCAAAATAAAAAATAAAAACGTGGCTCCGTGGTTCAGCAACTGGGTTTAGTATACATCTTACTGTTTGAATCAGGGTAAATGTATCTATCTCCTCAGACATCTGTCATTTTTATATGAAAGCCTTCTAGCTCTTGGAGAGGTGGAGCTTCTTCCTCCCGTGTAAGTGTAACTCAGTCCCCACGGATCAACCTCACCCACCACCCCAGCCTCCAGCAGCCGCCTTYCATTCTCAACTTCTATGAGATCATCTTCTTTAGATTCCTGGGGGAGCTCACGGGCACTCGTCTTTCTGTGCCTGGCTCACTTCACTTAACACAATGATCTTCAGTTCTCTTCATGTTGAATTAAAACAGTTTATTAACTTGCTGGCTTGTTCGCCAGCAAGACCAGCTTGTCTGGCTCCCTGGCTGGACGTAAGTTCCACGAGGCGGGGACCTTGACTGTCCTGCTCCCCTTTGGAACCACAACACCTAAACCAGCACCTGCACTCAGGAGCAGGAGCTAGTGCCGAGCCCTTGAGATCTGCTGCAAAGTGCTGTGTGGTCCTGAGCCAGCCCAGTGCCCCTCCCCTGGCAGGGAGCCTTGGACCAGGAGTCCCCAAGACAGCCTCTTGTCCTGAGGCAGAGGGCAAGGGCCTTGACCTCCTGACTGACACACAAGACAGAACAATGATGAGGAGGCCCCGATCAGGGCTTATCTCCACCCTGATTCCAAAGGTTTTCTTCCAAATGTCTTATGACACGCGGCCACATAAGGCAACCAGGACTGCTGACCCCAAGTCTCCCCTTCCAACGTCCCTGTTGAGACTGGTCCTTGAAGCAATGTGGGAGGCCACCAGATTGCCCAGAATCCAGTTTGAAAACCACTGKCCTGGGGGCTGGAGTTATGGCTCAGTGGCAGAGCACTGGCCTAGCATCTGTGAGGCACTGGGTTCGATTGTTAGCACATATTCATTCTTATATTCTTACCACATGTAAATAAGTGAATAAAATAAAGGTCCATCAATATCTAAAAAAAATATTTAAAAAAACCCTCTGGCCTGGCCATGACCCCTGARGATCAGGGTTCTAATTCTCACTCCTCCACTCACTCAGGGGAGCAGGATGATTGGCGCCCGAGCCTCTTTCTTCACCTRCAAATAGATAGTGACCAGCCTGGGCCTGCCCATCTCAAGGGATTGTGAGTGGCCAAATCAGGCTGGACCCTCACATGTGTTCAAAGGCGTCACCAGACTTCGTCATTTCACARCCTCCAATGTCACTCCCTGCTGGAATAGGCAGAGACACGAATCCATCAAGCGCCCCACCTGGCACTGGCTTCAGGGTGGAACACCTCTTAAAGCAAAGAGCACATCACCTTGATGACTAAGCCAGACGCACACCCGCATGACAGGGACTTCAGAGCAGGCGAGCAAGGAGCCGGGCTCTCACTGCCTCCCCGGCCACACCCACAGGCTCACGCTAACCCCAATAGCCTCTTCAGGAAGAACCACTGTGACATGGAGGGAAAGCATTCATCTGCCCCGTCCCTGGTGGATGGCAAGGACCTTGGGCAAAGCCAAAGCGGTGAGCTCAGCTAGCTGCATGCCTGCCTCATGACGCTGAGGGTGGATTTGCAATTTAATCTTTTTAATGACTAATTAGTTTTGCCCATTGGAGGCAAAGGTGGGGCCACTACCTTATTCCGGGCCTCAGTCCAGGATGACAGATACCAAAGCAGAAGAGCATGAAGCATTGGCAATGGCTCCCAGGTCTGCGTCCCAATCCTCTGACAACAGCAGCCTCGTTCCTCAACTCAGAGCACATGAGCCAAGCCAGGTTGGGGATACGCACACCAAAATGTTATTTCTAAAAACCTAAACATGTACTGCTCATTTCTACTGCTTTACAACTTACTAGGGGTCTATGGGATGGACAGGGAGAAGGAGAAACCTAAGTATTCAAATGCACACGCACACCAGATGTCTGCAGCCACAGATGTTAGCAGGGCTGAAAGCCACATGCAGGGCACCACACATCCCATACCTGCACAGCGTCAGGGTTCGGAGGCCACAGGACGAYGTTACGCAAGTTGGCATCCTCCAGCTGAAAGCCAAGGGTCCCACGGTTAAGACAGGAGAGAGGAACAGAGACCTGCAGGGCCTCTGGCTTCCACTCCAAGGCCCCAGTGGGCAATGCACTCCTGCGTGGCCTGTTCCCGCCCACCCTGCCCGCGGGCACCCAAGTGGAATCAGACAACAGAAGGAGAGGAAGCCCAGTACTGGGCTGGCTTGTCCCTCATCTTCTGCCCCGGTGACACAGCTGGCCTGCAAACCTGCTCCTTAACCTACAGACAGGAGATTCCTCATGTCACGTCTTTCCTCCCAAGTTCCCTTGTAAGCAGGCTGCAGGGACCCCCAGGTGCATCCTCACAGATGAAGAGCCTGCTGGGAGGAAGGGGCCTGGGTGGACCCCCACTGCACCAGAGCAGAGAAACCAGCACAGAGGCAATAGTGACGTCCAGGTGAGAGGGGAGAGGTGGTGGGGAGGACGAGGGGAAACCTTAGATAAGACGATGCACTGAATCAGTGTCACCTGTGTCCTCTGAGAAACTGCTCCAGACTCTGCAGGTGAGCGRGCCTCCCTGTGCCCTCCAGGGCTTGGTGCATGACTTGGGCTATTAGAGGGTCCACATTCTGGGCACAGTGCTTGATCCCAGGGAAGGCACACGACACAATCAGGGCTGGTCCAACTCCTTAGGGAGGCCAAATCAGGCTGGACCCTTAGCGGGCAGAAGCATGGGGACCTGGAACTGGGAAGGGCACCTTTTCTCTTCCTCCAGGCTGAGGGCAGGCCCTTGAACACTGAGGAGTCACAGAGGCAAGAGAGGAGGGAGCTCAGGTCATCTTTGTAAACTCTGGACTGAGCCAACGCATGGCTGAAGCTGTGGGCTCCTCAGTTCTACCAGCCAATGTCGCCTGTCTCTGCCCACCATCACTGGGGGTGGGCTTCTGTCTCCTGTAGCCCCCCAAAGTCCTAATCACACAAAATTCACAAGGCTAAATACCCAGGCCATCAATTAATCCCAGGGTGACACAGCAGATGTGGGGTGGCAGCATGCAGCGTCAGGGTGGCCTCCAGATTCTGGTCTTAGATGCAGATCAGATCCTGGTGCCCAGGAGGGAGAGCACAGGAGGAGAAGCAGGATGGTAGGGGGAGACGCTGAGTGGGGTCTGAGGAACTTGGGGGGCTGCAGAGACCCGCTGGGTGTGCAATGCACTCCTGCTCACGACTGGAAAGGCTGGAGATGAAACTCTGCAGAGCCGGGAAGGCAACCCTGACACTCAACAGGGCCCACATAGCGGGAAGGCTGGGGTGGGGAGCTGGCAGGCCTGGGGAGCAAGGGGTCAGCAGAGCAGGATGAGGGCMTCTAAACCCACACATGTTTACCCTTCTGATTTGTAAGGTCCTGAGGCATTAAAACAGTCATTGCTTACAAGGCCACGGTGAGATGGGCCCTCACACCCTGAGGAGAGCGTGGGAGGTGGAATCCCCTTTAAGGAAAGCATTTTGGCAAATGTACACAGCAAGAGTCTTGTGAGAGTCCTCACCCTTCACCTGACCGTGTCCCACTCTGTGAGTCTCTGCCAGGTGACAAGAGCCACCCATTCTAGACAATGGGGAGAGAGTTAAGGCATCCTCACTTTGTCTGAATTCAGGTCAGAATGTTGGAGGTATATATATATATATATTATGGTTTGTTTGAGCCATTAAGGCAGAGAGACCACTCCTCTGGGAACTCCTGGACTGAAGTGCCCCAGGTGGAGAATGCCCGGATCATGCTCCCGGAGATGGGGGTAGCCTGCCAAAGGCCAATCAACCTGTTTACGCAATACCCTTGCCACACAGAGAAGCAAGCACCAAACAAGACCCCTCCCACTGAACCTTACCCCCACCTTTGATGCACTCCCCCTTAAACACAGAATTGGGGTCCTCTTCCGTTGTTCCGCTCCAGTTCTATCAGGGCTGGAAGACCCAACAGATGCTCCGCTTTTTAAACCTAATCTTAGGCTTTGTCTTATTTCTTACTGATTATTTCAGACTTTTTATTTTCCCGGGCGGCTCACACCTCCCGAGCAGGTGCTGGCCACCTCATCATCTCAAAATTCATCTCCAGTTAGGGAAGTTTTCCCACCACCCAAGGAGTTCTGTTAAAGCTGTTAAGAAGGCAGATGCTCCTCTGATCTTGGCACTGTTGGGGCTCGGTGCCAGACAATTCCGTGCTGGGGGAGACGATTCTGAGCATTGTTGGATATTTTGCCACAGCCCTGACCTCTGCCACCTAGATGCCAGTAGCCCCTCACATCTCAGACGTGATCACCAAATTGTCTCCAGACGTTGCTAAAGGTCCCTGAAGAATGAAAGTCCCTCCTTGGGTCAGTACTGCTGCTCTGTCTAGCTGTGGGGACTTGAGGGAACTTGAACCTTAAGTGGAGTCTAGGGGAACCCAGGGAGGGGTGAAGCCAAGCCCCTTGGTTTGTTAACGAGGAGTGAAGGCCATGCTCAGGAAGTGCCCTGTGCCGCACCTACCCTTGGAGGGCTCTCTGTGGGTGGCTGTGCCTGCTCCACACCAACACAGCAGGGAACAGTCTTTCAGGGGGAGACTGCAGGGAGGGGACCTGAGCTGACCCAGCCAGCAGGCACCCTTGCCAAGTCCACAGTGTCCAAAAATAACTGAAACTGCTTCCCAACTTTTTTTTTTTTTAATGTAAGATTTATTTTACGCAATGTTTTAGAAAACAGGAGTAAGCACTTCTCGGCTCATTTGGTGGGGCTAGCATTACTCTGATACCAAAACCAGACCCCAAAAGAAAAACGACTCAGCAACATTTCTTATGAATTTAGGTACAAGTTCTCCACAAAACATTAGCAAGTTGATGCTAGCACATGTCAAAATAATTATGGACCACAACCAAGTGGGACTTATTCCAGGTGTRCAAGGCAGGTTCCACATTTGAAAATCAGCCAATGTCATCCATCATATCAACAATCCAAAGAAGAAAGACACTATGATCATTTCAATTGATGCAGAGAAAGCATTTGATAAAATCCAACACCTGTTCATGACTTTTAAAAAATCATAAGCAAACTAGAATGGAGAGGAACTTCCTCAACTCAACAAGGGTGTTTATAAAAAACCTTGCAAGCTGGGTACAATGGCACAAGCCTGTCATTCCCCTGTCTCAGGAGGCTGAGACTGAAGGATCATGAGTTCAAAGCTAGTCTCGACAAGGGTGAGGTGCTRAGCAACTCAGTGAGACCCTGTCTCTAAATAAAATGCAAAACAGGGCTGGGGTGTGGCTCAGTGGTTGAGTGCCCCTGAGTTCAATCCTGAGTACCAAAAAAAAAAAAAAAAAACAACCCAAAAAACAAAAAACCACCTTGCAGCTTAACCTTGCTTAATAGTAAAGACTGAATGCTTTCCCCTTGGCAGTGGAAATAAGGGAAGAGAAGGATTCCTCTCTCACTGCTCTTAATTAACATAGCACTGGGAGTCCTAGTAGTTGTAATAAAGAAAAAGAGAAAAGAAATGAAAATCATGGAAATGGAAGAAAAGACACAATATAGTCTCTATTTGCAAATGACATGATTGTCTACATAGACAATCCRAAGGAATCAACAATGCTAACAAAATAGCCCCTGGAACTGGTAATTGAGCTCATCAGCTGTAGAATACAACATCAGCACAATAAATCAAGGCACTCACCATAAACGTGTGGACACCAAAGTGACAAACACGAAATCATCTATAGTCACTCCAGAGAAAATAYACTACTTAAGTAAAACTTAACAAGACATGTGTGGGTCTGTTCACTGAAGATTACAAAATGATGGTGATGAAAAGAAATAAAGATGACCTGAAGAAATGGACAGTCCATTGTTCCTGGACTAGAAGACTCGGCCCAGGAAAGAAGTCAATTTTTCTCCAGTTGATCTAGAGATATAGTTAATTCCTATCAAAGCCCCAGTGATCTTTTTTCGTATATATAGATCTATTCTAAAATTTATATTAAAAACCATAGGTTGCAGAATACTGAGAACAGCTTCAAAAAAGAATGGAGTGGGAAGAATCACTGCACCTGACTTCAAGACGTGTTCAATAGCTAGAGTAATTAAGACAATCAATGAAGCAGAGCTGAGAACCCAGAAGCAACCCACACAAATATGCTTAACTGATTTTTTTTTTTTTTTTTTTTGGCACTGAGCCACATCCCCAGCCCATTTTACTTTTTATTTAGAGACAGAGTTTCACTAAATTGCTGAAGCTGGCCTTGAACTTGCAATCCTCCTGCCTCWGCCTCCCAAGTTGCTGGGACTACAGGCAGGCATCACCACGACCAGCAGTTTAGCTGATCTTTTACAAAAATACGAAAGCAATTCAGTAGAGGAAGAATGGTCTTTTCAACAGCTGGAGAGACGAACAGTAATGGACAAAACTACAACAAACACCAAGAAATGAACCTCAACCTCGAGAGAGCAAGATAAGCCCCAAGAGAAAATATTTACAAAAGACACACCTAAAAGAGAACTGCTATCTAAAATATACAAAACCTCTCAAAATTCAGCAATAAAAATGCCAATGACCTGATCAAAACAAGCTTTAACAGACGCCTTACCAAAGAAGATAGAGAGAAGGCAAGTGGCCCGTGTGGAAAGATTCTCCACGACATCAGGCATCAGGGAAATAAAGCAATAATGAGATACCACGACACACCTACAAGAATGACCCAAATCCAGAATGCTGGTGAGAATTTGGAAGAATTGTGTGTCAGAAAATGTGCYACAGCTTTCTATTGCTATGACGAAATGCCTGAGAAAAAGAACTGGAAAAGAGGAAAGATTTATTTTAGCCTGGTTTCTGAGGGTTCAGTTCATGACCAGTTGGCTCTCTTGCTCTGGGCAAAACATCACTGCAGGGAACAAAAACTACTCATCTCATGGCAACTGGACAGCAGAGAGAGAGAGAGAGAGAGAGAGAGAGAGAGAGAGAGAGAGAGAGAGAGAGAGCGCTTTTACAACAAAACCCTTCCCCACACTATTAAGCTCCAAAGTCATAAGTGGATTAATCTACCCATGAGGTCAGAGCCCTCATGATTGAATCCCCTCTCAAAGACTCCACCTCTGAACATGGAGCCTTGGGGACTAACCCTTCAACACAGGAACCTGGGGGACATTTAAGATCCAGACCATAACAAGAGCCCTCATTCACAGGCTGGGGAGATGCAGAGTGGCTCAGCCACTGTGGCCAGCCTTTGGTCCCTCACCATGGGACCCAGCAGCCCCACTCCTTGCTATCTACCCAAAGGAGTTAAAACTTAGGTCTCCACAAAAACCCGCACATGGATGTTACYGCATCTTTATACAAAATTTGGAAGCAACCAAGATGTTCTTCAGTAGACAAGTAAACTCTAGCGCATCCAGCGCTCAGAAGACACCAGCACCCAAGCCGTGAAAAGACACAGAGAAATCTCAACCACATATTGCTAAATGAAAGAAACCATCTTAAGAAAATACTGCATGATTCTGACCATAGGACATTCTGGAGAAGGCAAAAACCATAGAGATGATAAAGAGCACAGAGACTTTGGGGCAGTGTGATACTATAATGGTAGATACGTGTCACACATTTGTCAAAATGCATAGACGGTTCAACATCCAGCCTGAACTGTCATGTCACCTGTGACCTCTGGGTAATAAGATGCCAGCGTAGGTTCATCAGTCATAATAAATGTACCCCACTGGTACAGGATGTTGACAACCGGCGGGGAGGCTATGTTTGTGTGGGGACAGGGCGTATATGGGAAATCTCTGCACCTTCTGCTCAATTTTGTTATGAACCTAAAATTGGTCTAAAAAAGAGTTGGGCTGGGGATTGAACCCAGGGCCTCACACATTCCAGGCAAGTGCTCTATCACTGAGCTACATCCCAAGCCCAATTTATTAAAGAAAAAAAGCTTCAACTTAAATTTAGCACCGGACACAAAAATTCACTCAAAATGGATCATAAACTTGAACATAAATGTAAAAAATTTTAGGAAAAAAAAATAGGAGAAAATCTTCAGGATGTAAGGCTAAGCAAAGAACATTTAGACTTGATACCAACAGCACTATTCATGAAAGAAAAAACTGATAAATTGTACCACTTTAAGATTTAAACTTTTGCTTAGTAAAAGACCCTGATCAAAGGATGGTAAGTTCCAGAATAAGAGAAAATATTACCAAACCATAATCTAACAAAAGACTAATATCTCATCTGTATAAAGGACTCTTAAAACTCAATGCTAAAATAACAACAATAATACTGATAATCAAATAGAAAATGAGCAAAAGACATGAACAGATATTTCACCAAAAAGAATGTATCCATTAGGGATACATTCTAAGACCACAGTGAATGCCTGTAACCATGGTAATACTGAAATCTATTTTTACTATGCTTTTCCTATACATATATACCTATGACCAAGTTTAATTTACAAATTAACCACATTAAGAGATTAATAGCAATAACTAATAATAAAATACAATCATACAATAAATCATAAGTTATGTAACTGTGGTCTCTTTTTCACTCTCTTCTTTGTGATGTGAGATGATGTAATTTTCCACATGATGAGATGAAGTAAAATGAACAACATAGGCATTGTGAAATATCATTAGGATACCATGTAAGGGTTATTTGAATACAAGCACCACAGTACTATGACAGTTAATCTGATAAACAAAGACACCACTAAATGACTAACGGGTGGATAGCATATACAGCATGGATACACTGGACCAAAGGATGATATACATCCTGCACCAGATGGTGTGAAATTTTATCATACTACTCAGAACAGCACAAGGTTTAAGACTTATAAATTATTATTTCTGGAATTTGTCCATTTAATGTCTTTAGGTCGTAGTTGATCACAGATAATTGAAGCTTTGGAAAAAGAAACCATTTCTAGGTCTGGGGATATAGCTTAGTTGGTAGAGTGATTGCCTCACATGCACAAGGCCCTGATTTCAATCCCCAGCACCACACACACACAAAAAGAATCATGTCTACAGATGGCAAATAAGCATGTGAAATTTTTTCAACATCATTATCCATCATTGAAATGCAAATTAAAACCATCATGAGATCACACAACACATCTAAGAGACTAGCAGCATCAAATAGGGATAACACCCAATGATGGTCAAGATGCAGGGAAACTGGATTGCTCATAAGTTGGTGGTGAGAATGTAAAATGGTACAGTGACTGGGAGAAAGCCCAGCAGTTCCTTATAAAACTAAGCATGCACCCATCATGTGACCCAGCAATTGCTCTCTTGGGTATTTATCTCAGAGAAATGAAAACAGCAACTTTATGAGAAGTGACCCAGTTTTGCTTCAATGGATGAATGATTCAAGGAACTACAGCACCTCCATACAGTGGAATACTGTTCAGCAATACATACAACTTGGATGACTCTCAAGAGAATTATGCAAAATATCCTAAAAGGTCACACATTGTATAATTCTATTCATRTAACATTATTGAAATGACAAAATAATAGAAGTAGAGAACAGATTAGTGGTTGCCAGGTTCAAGAATGGGAGACAAGAGGATAGCTGGTGTGGCTATAAAAGGGCYTTCAGAGGAATCATGTTATGATACTGTGTAATAGTCTTGCAAGATGTTATATTTAAGGGAAACTGTGTAAAGGGTACATGGGATCTCTCTGTATTATTGCTTAAAATTGCACGTAAATCTACCACTATCTCAAAGCAAAAAGTGTAATTTTAAAAAAAATTAAGACTTCATAGAAAAATAGGGGCTTCTGGCTTATTTTAAAGAAACGGCCCTGCACAAGGAGGCGTCATCCCACCACAAGGAGGCGTCATCCCACGTGGCAGCCATCAGCTGGAATTGACAAGAACTCATTTCAGCTGCTTTGGGCAAGAACTGGCCTGTTTGCCATAGTACCCACCTCTCCCTATTGTCTCACACCCACACCAATCTTTTCTTGCCTAACCATAAAATCCCTGGACTTTGCCACCTTTTCTTTTGAWAGTTTCTGTTTTCCTGCTTGAGAAAAGAAAATTGTAGGGAAGAAAATGGCAGAGGGAAAACAAATTGCAGTAGGTTGGCTTTGGGATCTGATTTTCTCATTCAAAGAGCTCAACACCATTAATCCAAAATTTGCACTCCATGTGAGCGGAATGGGAAAGCGTGTCTCCCTGATTTTTCTCACCAGGACATTGTTACTATTCTCAGACTGAAAATGGATCATGATAGAATTTGGAAAGATTCTATTCCCAGCCTTAGGCAACATCCGGCAGTTAAAAGCCCATTCCTCAATTGTGGAAACCTTGCCTACTCTGACAACAAGAGTTTGCATTTCATCTGCTCAACGCAGATCGATTTTAAAATCGTGTTTAATGGCCATGGCTCTATTGAAGGGAAGGTTGGGAAGATTTTAACCTCCTCCACTAAAACCATGTTAAGTTGTTGAGTGGGCACAGTCTGGGCAGTAGTGTGCCAAATTCTCATGATGTCAATTTTAGAAGCTCAGAATAAAACGGAAAACTAAAGTTCATGGCTTATAAAATGAGAGAATTTGAAATGCCATCAACAAGCCTCCACGGTGAGGTGAGTGCCCGCGTGTGTCTGGGCATGAGCCGGGGCTTTGCTTGGCCCTTCCTGGGCACAGAGGAGGCGTTGGGGAGCAGGGAGGAGCGTGGTCCAGGTCAAGAGAGCCTCCGTGCGACTCTAAGAAGGAGCTTCCCCATACCCACCTGGCGCTCCGAGGTGCTGTTCTCGTTGCCCATGGTCACTCGGGGAGTCCAGATGTCTTATTTCCAATGAACGTCCCTCGGAATTTTGTCAGGGGCGACTGGAAGAGATGAGAGGGTGTCAACAGGTGCAGAATGGAAGGAGAGCCGAGGCTTTCTGTGTCTGCACCTCTCTCCGAACTCCAAGGCCAAACGATGTGAAAGGCTCATCTCTGCAGTCACATCATGGAAAATTACTTTTGAAGGTTTGCTTTTGCAGTATGCCACCCAAGCTCCTCGCCCTCCCCGCCCTGGGGTTGGCAGACCTGCTGGGAGGGAGGCGGGCAGGCTCGTTGTGTCTGGCCCATGCCAAGCTCGCACGCAGGCCTCTCTACACAAACAGCCACACAGGGCCTGTGGGCCGAGGGCAGGAGAAGCATTGCTCATGGAGTGTTTGCTGTTTCCAATTGTGTTCRGCTTGGAAACTCAGCGAGACGGGTTTCTCACTGCTGGCGACAGCAGAGCTGGGTGCCCAACATTAGCAGGCGTGAAACCCACTGCTCTCAACAACATATGGTCTTCGTAGATTTTACYCTAAACACTTGTTTCACCAAATCAGTTTCACTTCTGCACACATTTTTAMGAAAGCAGAATGGTTTCCTCGCTGAGGAAAATAAGTCGTTGGGAAATCATCAGGGAAAATTGCCAAGACAGCTGGAGTCCTTCCCGGTGCTCACACGGGGAGCCGGGTTGTTTATTCAGGATCATTGTGATGCTGATGCTTCCCACACACTGAGGTCATGCCCCAGAGTCCCTGTCACACAAGCAGGACCAAGCTCTCATCTCCACTTTTCTCAGGTGGAGAAACTTAATTAACGAAGACTTAGACACCAGAGACTGGTGCCTTAGAGACATCTGTCCAACCCAGTAGGGACACTGAGGCTGGAGAAGGCAAGGGGCCTGCCAAAGACCCAGGTTGGGGAGGAGAAGAGCTGGAAATCGAACTCAGCCTCTTGCCTTCTAATTCAAGATTTCTCCCSCCACAGGAATAGGGCTTTTATGGTATTATTTCGCCCATTGGTTTTCTTACTCATTCAACCAACACCAAGAGAGTAGTTAACGTGAGCTATATAGAGTAAACATTCACTGGAAATAAGACATCAGTGTTGTGAGTAGGCCCAAGTAAAATGCCTCCAACAGAAAATCCCCACCGAGGTCACCCCAGTCTTCAAATCCCTCACCCCTAACTCATTGAAGTGGTATGATCCCTTATGAAATTCATGCCATTTGCTGTGAACACACACACACACACACACACACACACACACAATTCAGGCTCACTTATAGAATGTAAAAATCTTCAGTGACTTAAATTCAATCTCCAGACACAGTGGCACATGCCACTGCAATTCTAGCAACTCGGGAGGCTGAGGCAGGAGGCTCACAAGTTGGAGGTGGCCTCAGCAATCTAGCAAGGCCCTAAGCAATTTAGTGAGACCCTGTCTTAAAATGAAAGATAAAAGGGACTGGGGACGTAGCTCTGTGGTAAAGTATCTCTGGGTTCAATCCCCAGTACCCCCCCCCCCCAAAAAAAATAATAAAATTGGTCACTTCAGTGTATTTCTTCCATTCATTTGGAAGATGATTCTTCCAAATGTTGAGTGTTCCCTGCATCCATCAAGTTGAACTGTCCAAAACGATAGTTTCATATAATCCAAAGTGATATTAATTTTGACATTGATTCACCAGATAAATTTAATAATTTTATTRAAAACTGGGTATTTGAACTAGGGTGTTTTTTTTGTTTGTTTGTTTTTCCTTTTCTTTTGGGAACCAGGGATTGAACCCAGGGTCCCTCAACCACTGAACCACATCCCCAGTCCTTTTGTATTTTATTTAGAGAAAAGTTCTTGCTAAATTGCTGAGGCTGGCTTTGAACTCCCAATCCTCCTGCCTCAGCCTCCCCACAAGCTGGGATTATGAACTAGGTTTCTGAACAGACTGGAAAGAATGGCGAACAACTGGTGAAGTGTAAGCTTCAGATCCGCAGAGGGAAGGCCAGGTTGCATCTGGAATCTCTGCACCTAGCCGGGCTCCCCGCCAGGAAGGGGGTGGCCACGCTCTGCCTTCTCACTTACCTTTGGGGCCGGCCTGGAATTTGGACGCTGCCTCCAGAATCTGCTTTCCAGCACCTGGGCTTTCTCTTCTTGCGCTCAGGGGCCGAAGTCCTGAGCCACCTCAAGCAGCCGGGCAAACAACCTGTCTCCACCCCTGCACCGGCACCAACCAGCTGAGCCTCCTACCTGGGCCTCGGCCCGGAGATTAGACAAGCCTTCCTGCCCACATGGAATCTGGCTTCGCAGCCCTTCCCTCCGGCCTTTCACACAGGATTTTCCCGGTTATTACATCAGCGGGGCTCCTTTCAGAAGAGGCTTAGCTAACTAAGCAGCCCCTGCATCTGATTGGCTGCACCCAGCAGCGGGACGGTCCTGGCCCAGAACCACAGGCTGGCCCTTACGCTCTCGGCGGGATCGGCCTCTCTTTCTAGGAAGGAGTCAAAGACTGAGCGGGCTGCTGGTGTGCACCTGGGGAAACTCCACTCGAGTTCCACCGAGAGCCTAGAAACTTGTGGAAAGGCGCTGACGGCAGCCTGGCACCTGTTGATGGGGAGGGTGGACCGTGCGCACCCAGGTGTGGCTGGAGTTTCTAGAGGGAAGCTGTAAAAGGCAGCAGGCAGCCCGCCCACTGGGACCTTGTTAGCACACCCACCCAAGACCCTCCCTGAACCCCCGGCCTGCTTCCCTGGATTCCTCCCCCATGGCCCACAAGCCCCTCCTTGGCATGAAAGCAGCCAGAAAGAAGGGGGGCGTGGCAGAGCTTTTCAGTAAAGGAAAGTTCTGCAGAAGCCTGGACTTCGCCTCCAGGTAGGAGCACTCCAAGGGAAACATTTGCATTTTCAGGGAGCCTCCTTGGAGGTATTTGAGGCCCCACCAGGGAAAAGCTGAACGCAGGGGAGGAGCTTAGCACCCCCTGTGGATTGTGAAAGCAGAAGCSTGTTCGTTTCAATAGACAGTGGATTAGTGCAACCTCGCCTAGCCACACCTTGGAATACTACTAGACACAGAACACAGTGAGGTGTCGATCCAGGCTCCCTCTGATGAACCTACAAACCGTTATGTCCAGGAAAGATGCTCCATCTGAAGCCACAGGGTGCATGATTCTGTTCACATGCGACATTCAGAATAAGAAAATCTAGAGAGGAGAAGCCAGAGTGGTCAGGGACAGAGAGAAGGAGAGTGACTGCCTAAGGGGTACCTGTGCAGGTCATGTTGTGCCCTGATGAAAGAACTAGCTGGAGAGGGCACTAAATGCCACTCAGTTGCTCACTTCGGAATGGCTGATTTCATGTTATGTAAATTTCATCTTGATTTTTAAAAGCATGTTTCACATCTTGGGGTTCTGCCTAAGATATTGTTTGGAAACAGGATTCCACCACTAGACGAAAAAAGTTTGGAAAACATTTCTTCTGTGTTTATCAACATGAGGTTTCTGTATGGTTAAGGTTTGGAGGGATGAGAAAAAAGAATGTTTGCTTCCACCCCTAAAAATCACAAGAGAAGTTTTCTAAATTAGAGAATCCAATGAAGCAAAAGATCTTGGGTGAGCCAGTTGGGAATGAAGAGGCAAGTCTTCACGGGGACAAACAGGGACTAAAGCCCTGAAAAACAGAAGGTACAGATTGGGGGTTTGCTCCTGAAGAGGGTTTGGGGAAGGAGCTGGCCAGCCAGAGGCACACCTGGACTCACAAGGTGGGGCACACTCAGAAGGTGGGGCACACGCAGGGTCCAGCCCTCAGGTGTGTGTATTTTTGTGATGTCCATTTGCTCCACAGTCCACCCTGAAGGTTCTCATGGTCAGCTCTGCAGCCAGCACAAATCCCTCAAGTGGTTGGGGTTTAGAGAGGCAGGAGGGCTGCGTTCCGGGACTGGGTCAGCTCTGGGATCCCTCCCGCCTGCTGGCTTCCAGAACCTCCCCTGAGAGGCCTCTGCTCCTTACCAGCAGCATTTATTATCATTACTGTCACTGCCTCTGGGCTGTTCTTTTGTGAGCAGCCAGCATTTCTTGAGGACTCACAGGCACCTGGTACTGGGCTCCAGTTTGCATGGAATCCTTGTAGCAAAGCCATGGGGGCAATGAGGTCAGACCTATCGTCACGCTCTGGCAGATGAGGGTCAGAACCAGATCGTGGCCAAAGGACACACATCCCACCAAGGGGGTGGGACTTTCTGTTCCTAGCCCCTACCCCTTTCTCCTATCACACGAGGGGTTGTTTCCCAGGTAAATGTGAGTGTGTGTGTGTGTGTGTGTGTGTGTGTGTGTGTGGTGTGTAGTGCTGGGGATTGAACCCAGGGCCTTATGTATGCAAGGCAAGCACTCTACCAACTGAGTTATATCCCCAGCCTTCCCAGGAAAATCTTGCTGCACACACAAGCTAGTCGCCCAGAGAAGGCATCTACCTCTGAGGATTCAAGTCAAAACCTTATTTATTGATATCCTGAGGGAAGACCTGCACTGAAAACGCACGTTAACCCAACTCATGGGCGGCCGCACACGGGCTGTTCTCTCAACCAGGCTGCTTGTTTATTGGCATGGAAAAAGGAATCTGGATGGCAAGCCGACCAGGACACCCAAGTTGCCAGAACTGCAGTTGATCCCCTAAACAGGATATACAGTTACTCACAGGATCCCGAGGAGGACGGTGGGTGTGGAATCAGAGACGGGTGTCAGCTGCAGGCAGAATCAGCTCTCAGCTAAGGTGCCTGAAGGCACCACCACCCTTCCATCACGCTCTTGAGCACAAACAACTGAAATTCCTCTGGCCAGCTCAAACAGAAAAGAAGCTCAGGGGCAGATATGGGGCAGTCGCTGTCGCTGAGGGAAGCCTGAAGAACCAGGCTCAGACCAGGCAGGGACCAGAGGCCTCCGGGCAGCTGGATCCACTGCCAAGGCCTGGCCAACGAGGGGCCTGCCTGGGCAGCTCCCACTGCTGCCCCGGTGGYGGCTGCTGGGATCACTGGTGGTGCCTCCCGCCCCTGGACACAGCGCTAGTGCCACCATGACTGCTGGACCCTGGGCATTGCCTTCAACCTCTGTCCTACTGTGTTGTCCCCCACTAGGCTCCAGAGACTGTCACTGCCAATGGGAAGAGCAAAGGAATACACAGACTTCTGGCTCCCAGGCAGGGCTGGGGCTGTGTCTTAGAGGGATATGCTGACCAGGCACAGGGGACAGGTCCAAAAGCAGGGCATCAGAGATTCCTGAGTGCTCACCACCCCCTTTCCAATGGCGACTTGTGGACTGGACCCCAACATCAATCTCTGCCACGTGCCATGGTCTGCAGGTATCTCCACGGCAGACCTCTCCCCCTCTCCAAGCTGGCTTCCTCTGACCTCGGCATCATGCAGCTGGCCAGCTCCCCACGTGGATGTGAGTCGGCTTGTCTATTTCTGGGACAGCCCACTGCAGTGGCTCTAGAGGGCTATGAGGAGAACCGGACCCCGTGGCCAGGTGGTGCAGTGGGAATGCCAAYGCCTGCTCCCTTGGTGGACAAACTCTGGCAAATAACTACACTTCTCTGTGTTCGGTTTTGTTATTTCTGAAATGGGAATCATTTTTTTTTAATTGGTCGTTCATAACATTACATAGTTCTTAATACATCATATTACACGGTTGATTCACGTGGATTATGAACTCCCGCTTTTACCCCGTATACAAATTGCTGTAT